TGAAATAATGAAATTTTCAGGTAAATGCATGGATCTAGAAATTGTTATACTAAGTGAAGTAACACACACTCAGAAAAACAAACAACATATGTTCTCCCTCATATGTGGCTCCTAGCACCAAATCCTTTTAAATTCGACGTCCTTGTAATAAGATTATGGTATACATCAGTCCTTTCTGCATGAAAAAACTACCATCATCACAACTTCGACTAAGCCTGATCACTAAACATAGTCACAATTGGGCTTGTTGCCAGTTGTGCTCATTCATTAAAGGAGTGCCAAGCAGAGTCACTGGACCCTCACCTGAGTATCCAGCCACCCTTCCCAGCCAACTAGTCCAGCCTTGGAAGACAAAAGAAAAATGAGGAAGAACCCAATAGAGGGATGCTTATGGAAGCCCTTGTCAAGAAACTCCAGTGGACTCTCATATGAACATTTGAAAATTGCCTTGTTCTGACTTTTTTCTAGTTCCCCCTCTAGAAGATGTAATGCTAATTACTCTTGCCTTTACTTCTTCACATCTCCTATTCATGATTCAAGGACTTTCTTTTCCCCTTAGAGACAAGAGTTATGCAATTTGGGAGTCTTTTAGATAGACCCACTGAAGGGGTACTCCAATTGCCTCACCCTGCATCCCTGCTCAGCATGGAGGAAGCCAGAGCGGTCTGCGTCCCAATTCCCTATTGGCAATTTGGGTAACCACTTCAGAGGATGGTGTAATAAGAATAGGAGGTAGAAATTGGCTAAGCAGTTAGGTTAAAAAGATCCCAAAAAAATGTAGCCAGTTTCTTGAAAGTCAAAATGTACTTAAACCTGTTAGCAACATACTCTGTTCCAAAGGCCAAAAATGTCAAAAGTATTCAGGAGCTTGTATCTAATCCTTAAAAGATTTTAGTGTTACCTCTCCAGAGGGGGGGAATGTTGGAGAGAGGGAATGGGCATGGATCTGTCCAAAACACCTTACATTCATGTATTAAATTCTCAATAAAGTTTTTGTAAAAATTAAAAAGTAAATAAACTAGGCGTGGTGGTGCATGCCTTTAATCCCAGCACTCAGGATGTAGAGGCAAGGGGATCTCTATGAGTTCAAGGCCAGCCTGGTCCACATAGTGACCAGCTGGGGCTATAGGGAGACCCTGTCTCAAAAAGAGCAAAACTTTTTTTTAAATAATAAAAAATAAATACATAAATAAATAAAAGATTATTAATATGATTTGATTAAAATGCTAAATCATTTCATTTACCATGGAAATACACATAATTAGACATGCAAAATGAGCCAATTGACATCACAAAGTTGAACCAGGCTGTTTGCTGATTTGCTCTTCCCAGGTTGTACTGCTGACAGCATCACAGACTCAGACCACACTTGACATGTAGGACTTCTCCCTCACATTCACATTTCCTTCAGTACCAAAGCTTTGTAAATAAGAATTTATATGTATTCCATGCGTTCAATAAAATTTCTATGCATATTAAAATGTGTACTTCTGAGAACACTTCAAACGACCTTTCACAATTCTGTTTGATCATGAATAAAACAGAAAATGACACTGGGCATTCAGGCTGTTCTTGAGAAATTAAACACATATTGATAATCAGATCAGTATTCCAAAAACTAGAAATTACTAATTCTCTATTACCGATCATTTTAATCTGATTGATGAAAGTGTTTAGGAGACATTGTATTCAGCAAGCATACATTTCTAAACCAAATATCTTAGAAATTTGGGAAATATCACTAATAGAAAAATTATAGTTTAAATATCCACTGAACAATAATCTGGATAACTATCACTATTATGTGGTTATTATCTCAGAACTGAAACATCCCACCCTGTAAAGAGGAGGGAAATGACAATATTCAAGAACCTCACAAAGCTTGCCATTCACAAGGCACTGACCCAAGAATGTATTGGCAATAAATAATAAGGAGTAGTCGACTGTAACACACAGCTGACTGCAAATTAGGTGGGAGTTTCAGTCATGCAGCTTTACAGTAAGAGCTTCTGTGAGTTTCTCGGGGATGTACCTGCCTTAGAATTTCCTATAATTATGTTAACAGCCCCTTGTTTAGGCTTCTCTAAGTAACCACAATAAGATGATTATTTCACCAAACCAGACGTGTCAAATCATTTCTTTGATTTCTTGTTGGTTCCATATCCAAAGTGAACAGAAATTTGTTATTTTATTCCCATGCTTTTTCACTGAAAAGCATCTACCTTGAGCTCATTCATATTTCTGACGATGACTGATGATCTTCTTCCCAGTATACACAATAAGAAAATGTTGTGCAATTAAATCTACTATTTTTAATATGATGAATAAGCAACTTATCTGCTCAAATAAAATAAAAAACCTTACAGACCTCTTAAAGCATATATAAAAACTATGGCAATTTTGGCGTGATCACTGGAAAGGCTTAACAAACCCAACATCACAAAAAAAAATCCATCAATGAAAAAGATCATGATGAAATGTCATTTTAAAACTCACTCTGCTTTTTCCACTTTAATATGAGTCTCCTGTAGTGATATATGGAATTTTACTTGGCCTTTGAAGAATTGTTTATACATTCTCTGATATAAGCATCAGGGCTGGACCCATATTCTCATAAAATCCCCAATTTTGCAATTTTGGGGACTAACTGTCCTGAAATTCCATTCTTCACAGTGCTTCTTTTCCATAC